CTAGCGTGTACAAGGCCCTTCAATCCCCAGCATTGAAAACTACAACAAAAAGAATAACATGTAATTCATGATATTTGAAAATTCTAGGAAAAAACAAAACGTATTTATCTCAAATGATGCAGGAAAACACTCAAGAATTGTCTTTTTTTTAAATCAGATAAAGGACAGATTAAAAATTTCAACAAATAACAACATAAAGATGCCTGCTATCTCTATTTCTAGCAAAATTGTGCTACAGGTTCCAGCAGCAAAATAAGATAAAAAAATTTTTTAAAAGACTAAGCACTAGAAAGCTAACAAACTTAGGATTACCTACTAGGGATACGATTATCTATAAAGAAAATCCTAAGAATTTATAGACAATTCATTAGTTGTATTATAGCAGTTCAGGTAAGTTGCTAAACGTAAGTACAACAATCACCAAAAAATCAATTTCATTCTCACAGAGAACAACAGATAATATAAAATTTTGAAATATCATTTATAAGAAAAATATATAGAAATAAACCTCATAAAAGGTCCATAAGACTTTTATGAGGAAACTATATGCATTCCTACCCACAAGGTATGAGAATTTCTGTTGCTTACCAGCACCTTGGTATTATCAGATCTTTACAGTTTTTACTTTTCTGTATGAAATGGTGTTTACTAGTTTTGTTTTGCATTTCTTTGATTATTAGTTAGCTTTAACATCTTTTCATATATTTATTTACTAATCTTGTGAATTCTGTGAATTACCTGTTCCAGAGATTTTGCCTACTTTTAATTATTTGCCATCTTTTGTAATACTTGTTGTTTTAAATATTTTTATTAGTTATTGATGGACCTTTATTTATTTATTTGCTTATACGTGGTGCGGAGAATCGAACCCAGTGCCTCACACATGCTAGGCAAGCACTCTACCACTGAGCCACAACCCCAGCCCAAGACTTGTTGTTTTAAAAATATTTCCCTGATAGTAATTCCTTTTTGGTTATTTGAATTACACATATATTTTCCTCATTGAGGGCTTCTCTTATTTTGCTTATGGTTTCTATTATTGTAGAGAAGTTTTAAAATTTAATTAAGTGGAATATGTCAGCTTTTTCCTTTATGGTTTGTGCATTTGGAACTTATTTAAGAAATTCTTGCATACCCCAAGGTCAGAAAGATAGTTTATATTTTCTTTTAAAAGTCTTAAAGTTTTGCTTGTCACACTTCTTTCTTTATGTTACCTGTAATCTGATTTTTTATATAAAATATGAAAATAATTTTGTTTTCCATTTAGAAAAATAACATAAAAGCATTTTTGATACAATTTATTATTTCTTCCTCATATATACTGATTTGTAACATTACTTCTATCATGTACTATTTGCATACACAGGAAATTGTTTCTGTCCATTTCATTGATCTGCTGGTCTATCACTGGACTAAACTGATGATTTTAATTACTATACTTTATAATAACATATAATATCATATAGGATGAATCTCATTTTTTTCCCCAGAATTACCTTGACTATATTCATCCCATTACATTTCCATCTAAATTTTGGAATCACTTTGTTAAGTTCAACAAAATGTCCTCTTGGAATTTTTGTTGGAATTTAAAGTGAAAAATTGGCTTTTTAGGGAAAATGACTTTTTTTTTATATTGAATCTTCCATGAGATATGGGAATGTAGGTCAGGAGAGTGATGGTCAGCATGCAATGGGGCCTTGGATTCTATTTCCCTGAAACTCCCCCCCCCACCTCTGCAAGAATGACAATGATATGGCATATTTCTCTATATACAGATCTTCCTTAATACTTTTGGTTTTTTTGAAAAATGATATTTTAAGCCAGGTGCAGTGGCATGTGTCTATAGTTCCAGCAACTCAGGAGGCTGAGGCAGGAGGATGGCTTGAGCCTAGGAGTTTAGAGATAACCTGGGCAACACAGTAAAGCTGGGGTTGTGGCTCAGTGGTAGAGTGCTTGTCTAGTATGTGTGAGGCACTGGGTTTGATGCTCAGCACCATGTATAAGCAAATAAATAAATAAAGGTCCATCAATAACTAATAAAAATATTTAAAACAACAAGTATTATAAAAGATGGCAAATAATTAAAAGTAGGCAAAATCTCTGGAACAGGTAATTCACAGAATTCACAAGATTAGTAAATATATGAAAAGATGTTAAAGCTAACTAATAATCAAAGAAATGCAAAACAAAACTAGTAAACAACATTTCATACAGAAAAGTAAAAACTGTAAAGATCTGATAATACCAAGGTGCTGGTAAGCAACAGAAATTCTCATACCTTGTGGGTAGGAATGTAAATTCCATCAAACACTTTGGTGACAATGACAGCATTGAAGTTGAATACGTACATATCCTATAACCCTGCCATTCTAATTCTAGGTACACAACCTGTGGCAACACACTATGTGTAAGGAGAAACAAAAGAATGTTTGCACTTGGTTTATAATAGAAGAAAACTAGAAACAACGCAAATAGTGTCCATTCACAGAAGGTATGAATTGGAATAAGATGCTGAAACAATTTTTAGGAATGAAAATGAAGTGAAGTTTACTAATCTTAAAAAATGATGTTGACTGAAAAAACCCAAACTATAAAAAAGTTGTGTAGATAATGCCATTTGGGTAAAAGATTTTAACCATCTAGCAAAAATTCATGGGAATGATAAATACTAATTTGGGTTAGTGATCACAACTGAAAGGGAAGAAAAAGGAATGAGATGGGGAGAAATCCAACTATATGCTTGTAATTTTTTTTTAATTTTTGTTTTATTTTTTTGGTACTGGGAATGGAACCCAGTAGGCAAGTGCTCTACCATTGAGTTATATCCCCAGCCCTGCAACTGTATCTGTAATATTTAATTTCTTATACTGAATTGGTTTCATAGATGTCCATTATTCACAGCATAAAAAAGTTGATTTTATGCTGATATATTTTGGAAATACATATTAAAAATAATAAATAAGCCATGGGAGGGGAGAAAGAAAGAAAATTATCAACTAAAGCCTAGAAGACAAATCTCAGACTAAATTTTAAAATTTCACTAATTTCCTAAAAACAATTAAACTGCCATTAATCAGCTTGAAATAGAGGACAGCGATAATCATACAGAACAACTTAAAGGAAAACCCCTTTATTTTTTTTAAATTTTCCTCTAATTATGTTATATGCTTTTTAAAAATATTTTTTAATTAGTCAAACTCGACAGTAGAATGCACTTATATACTTTGATATATCATACATAGATGGGACATAATTCTCATTTTTCTGAGTATACATATTGTAGAATCACATTGGTCATACAGTCACATATATACATACAGTAATAATGTCTGTTTCATTCCACTATCTTTCTTATCCCCACATCCTCTGTCTTCCCCTCCTTTCACTTCCCTCTACTTAATCTAAGGTAATGCTATTCCTTGTGTGTGTGTGTGTGTGTGTGTGTGTGTGTGTGTGTTATAATTCTTAATACACATACATACCACAATTTTTAATATCTCTGTTTGTATATAAAGTATGTTGACACCCAATTCAAGTCTTCATACATGTACTTTATATAATGATGTCCATCATATTCTACCATCCTTGCTAATCCCCTGCCCCCTCCCTTTCCCTCCCACCCCTCTTCCCTATCTAGAATTCATCTATTCCTCTCATGCTCTCCCTCCTAATCCCACTATGAGTCAACCTCCTTATATCAGAAAAAACATTTGGTATTTGTTTTTGGGGGATTGGCTGACTTCACTGAGTTATCTTCTCCAATGCCATCCATTCACCTGCAAATGCCATGGTTTTGTTCCTTTTTAATGCTGAGTAAAATTCCATTGTGTATATGCCACATTTAAACCCCTTTATTTTTAGATGTTCTTACAAAACTAGGAATTTTTAAAGTGATAATATAAGAAAGTATAAACAATTATATTTTCACATTTCATTGGAAAACATCTTGAAATGATAATTTTTGAAAAGTCTTAATTAACACGCTAAATTTTTAAACAAAGTATCTTACAGTCATTGGTCACTATGTACCACATGTTAATAAACACTGTATTTTTCCCCTAGCCCAACTACATTCTGACCCATGGCTTCCTTTTAACACCTTCCACGGGTTCTAAAATAGAAACATAAAAACTTACTGTACTTGATTATAAACTTTAGCTCTCATTATATTCCCTGACTGAGCATGGGGCTCCTGCAGTTGGGTAGAAACATCCAACTTTGAAGCATTTACTAAGAAAGTGTAGATTACAAGGATTAAGAATTATAAATTACCACCTAACATTACAGTGGAGTTGTGAGGAATGTTTAACACAAGTTCAGACACAGAGGAAGTGACTAAAAAGTGTAAAATATTAGTTAAAATTAAAAAGTCAGATATTACATTTTAGGGAAAGATTCAACTACTTAGTTTCAAAATGTACATTAACTCAAAGAAACAAACATGAATTCCAAAGTAATTGTATATCCACTTTCCAATTTGTAGATGCAATAGTAATTTTATAAAATATCTTATATCAGTTCTATGTTTACACCAGAGTTTAAAAATAGTTTTGTTGTTGTTGTTGTTTGGTTGTTTTGGTTTGGTTTGATTTGGGTTTTTTAATAGTACTAGGGATTTAACCCAGGGGCCCTCTGTCATGAACTAAATTCCCAGCCCTGTTTTGTTTTGTTTTGTTTTTCTTTCTAACTTTGAGACAGGGTCTCACTAAACAGCCTAGGCTGGCCTCAAACTTGCGTTCTTCCTGCCTCAGCCTCCTGAGTTGCTGAAGATCACAGGCCCGTGACACCACAACAGGCTAAAAATATTTTGACCTACATATCAACTCAAGTAACAGCTTATTTTATGGACAGGAAAGACAGAAAAACAAAATCCAAACTTCAAATGCCTGATCTTCTAGAGTTCTTTATTTTTACCAGATACTTTTAGAAAATAAATATGTAGCAAAGATTTTAAAATCACTGCCATCTTAGCAGGGTTTATTTATTTTAATTATTACCTGAGGAACTGTGTTTTGTGAGTCACAAGCAGGCCCAGCCATGGAAATTAATTCTTTCATTGTTATTTTCAACAAATCCATTTTGCCTTTCTTCGGTTAAGATGCCAACAATGCCTATTAAAAAAAAATTAAAATGCAGCTATTAATGAACTCTTATTTTACATACAGCAATTTCTTGCTTTTGTGCATCAATAATCAATTCCCATATTCGAAATTCTCTTAAAAACATACAGCTATCTTTTTTCCCCAGTACTGGGTTAGAACCCAGGGGCATTTTACCCAAAGCTGAGACAGGGTCATACTAAATTGCCCAGGCTGGCCTTGAAATTGTGATCCTCCTGCCTCAGCTTCCTCCAAGTTACTGGGATTACAGCACACCCAGCTCTTTCTAACTACTCCAGTCCTTAAGAGCCACAATTAGGTGGCAAGAATCAGATACAATAAGCAAGTCACTTTGGGTAACAAATTTATCCAACAAAAAATTCTCTTTGGTTGATTCAACAATAAAACAATAAACCCTCTGTGTTAGAGTTCTTGTAAGGAATTTGAGGCTTCCTAGAGATTGATCAACTTCTTAATTTTTCATACAAGACTCTATTCCTGGAAGACTAATCAAATCATTGTATTTGAAACTCCCTGGGACAAGAAGGAACACTGCAAATTCCAAAGGGATCTCATATTTGAATTTTGCAGGAGCTGCTTATTTACTTTATAACAAACACTTCACCAAAATACAAGAAACATAAAAAAGGAATATCAATCCACTTGAGGCAGTAAAAAGGAATGAAGTGCTGATCCATGTGACAACACAGATAAACCTTGAAACATAATGCTAACTGAAAGAAGCCAGACACAAAGATGTCATATTACATGATTCCATTTACATGAAATGTCCAGAACAGACCAATCTGTTGAGACAGAAGGTAGATTAGTGGTTGCCTAGGGCTAGGAGCAGCAGCGGTAGAGGAAAATGGGGAGCAACTGCTAATGGGTTTGGAGGTCTTTTCAGGTGATATTCTACAATTAGATTGGGCTAATGGTTACAGTTCTGCAAATATACTAAAAATCATTAACTCACACTTGAAATGTACGAATTGTATCATAAGTGAATTATATCTCCCCAAAGCTATTAAAGAAATATCACTTAGTCATCTTCTCAGATTCCCTTCTTCCATATCTACTTTTCTTCAATTATGTAACCTCTGGCTCCCCAGAGCAAAAGTTTTAAGCTAATCAACATTTTCTAAGCATTTGTAAGCCAGAAAAGAGGAAAGTCTAAAATATGCAAGTTTATTTTTATTTTAATTTTGGGGAGTGATGAGGATGAAACCCAGGACCTTGGCCATGTTAGGTAAGCACTCTACCACTAAGCTACACCCTCAGCCCTGAAACTCTAGAACAGAGGGGGACATCCTGATTTGAACCTATTACTGGAGGAGATCCCTGAGAGAGGGACTTTGACTCAAGACAAGTGAGGTCCTTGGCACTTACACATAAAGAAAAGAATTGCAACACACATCAGTCAGAGACACAGGAAGAGGTTATTTGGAAAAGCAGAAACATATTTAAGAGAGAATGCAGGCTATCTCAAGAGTGAGAAGCTTTGGGCTGGGGTTGTGGCTCAGTGGTTCAGTGATCACCTCACCGTGAAAGGCCCTGGGTTCGATCCTCAGCACCATATAAGTAAATAAAATAGAGATATTGTGTTCAAATACAACTAAGAAAATAAATAAATATTTTTAAAAAGAGTGAGAAGCATTGGGGATAAAGCAAAAAATATACATTCCAGGAAGAATGTGGGCCATCTCCAGAGGGAGAAACAACCACAAAACAAGTTTAAAAGAAATTTCTCACAGTACACTTATGCTCAGAAAACATATATATTATTTTTATAACTATCAAAAAATTTTATATCTACCTAAACAAAAGTAAACTTATAAACTAAGCAGGTAGTTTTTCTCCATAGCTAACACTAGGCAGAAGTTTTCATCAGAACAAAAAATATAATGTTACTGGTAAGTCCTGCTGAGAGAAATAGAGTATCTTTGAGCATATTTTTCTAATAATTTAGACTTCACTCGACTAAAAAAAAAAAAAAAGAAAGCTACACTCAATTACCAAAATATCTTCTTGGAACCATTGTTTTTTTTTTCCCTCAAAGTACTGGGCAAAGTCATGGCACTTTTACTGAGGCTGGAGTAGAAAGGTACAGCTGCTCAGTGCTCTGTCACCAAGATCAATACTTCATACTAGTTGAAAACCACAGAAAGAAAAAGTACAAAGCACAATATGCAGCATGACCTCACTATCACCTTAACATTTGTCCTGAAATAGATGAATGATGCATAAATACACAGAGTAGGAAAGAGATACAGTCAAAAGAACCACACAAATTCAAAATGGGTCAGACTGGGGCATTAAAAATAAACCGTGGGTATTCTGATATGCAGCAACCTTTCAAGTATTGTGAAAAAGAACACAGAGCCAACAGTGGCTCTAGTATGTTTTCCTCTGCATTCAGGAACTGTGTGCACACAGACATTTTTGTATCCAGAGGGGATAAGGAGTCAAGTTGTCTGAGCTCACATTTTGGGGTGTTTTTTGTTTTGCTTCTGAGTTCTTACTATTTCAGTGGCCTTTGGCAAGTCACGTAACGCTTCTAAGTCCCAGTTTCTTCACCTAGAACATATAGAATGATAACAGTAGCTATCTCATAGGGTTTGGGGAAAGATTACATGAGGAAATGCACGGGAAATAAACACTAATAAATGTTAGATACTATTAGGATTATGATCACTTTATGGTCAGTCATTTCATGGAAGGATTCAAAAGAACCTATTAACATTGGTTGTCTATAGAAAGTCTTGAGGGTTCTGAAAAGAGAGGAAAACTATTCTTTTGCAATTTGGAAGGTGGGGCAACACATACTTCCTGGAATTGAGCAATGCATGTGCCACAGTGATGTCTGTCTACTTAATCTACAGGCGGAAATCTATACACCTTCTGTTTATATTACAAGATTGACCTCTTGGAGGGTTCATTCCAAGAAAGAGCTGTCACAGAACACACTGTCCACACATTAAAACAAAGCCATAAATGCTATGGTACTAAGGAGAAAGAAATGTCCCTTATGCAATAAGCTCACTCACATGTCAAGGAGGTTAGAATACACTATCAAAAAACAAACAGCCAGCTGTGATCCTATAGATACATACCTGTATGTAGAAGGGAATTCCAGCACTGTGCCTTGTAGCACAGAGTTTAGATGAAGGATCGCTGCTTTTGATTTCCTCCAAAACATTCCATAACCACTGTTCTGGCAGTTTTTGCAAACTCACATTAGGGCACCTGAAAGGTACATATGAGCAAACATTTGGAATTATCAGGTACCAAGAGAAAAAAGTGCAAATTAGTTCTATATATTAACCCTGTTAGAAAATAATAAATATCTTTGCAAGGGGGTATTTAAAAAATGTCTCCCTTGTACTGTTCATTTACTCTCTTCTTTACTATGGGTCTTAGGATTTGAAGCTATTTTCCACATCTTAGAACTACTATGTACCAAGCAAGTGTCTTATCTGCAAACTAAGCTTTAATACATAGTCTTGCCTCCATATTAATAATGTTCAAGAGAAGGTTAATGTAAGACTCAAGATTTCCAACAGAGAATATAATTACAGTTTACTGTAATTTATGTTTTATTTTTATAGAGATTATACACAAAGTAAACATGTTTTAAATTCTATTTTCAACTCTCTCAAAATGTGGCTTACCACAAAAAAAATTTTCAACACAACCTGTGGTACAGTAAAAATCAAAGCTATCTGGGAAGAGGCAAGAACATTTTGAGGTTATTTGAACATTGTATCAGGGTTTCTGCCCTATTACTGGTTTCCTAGAGTACTTAAGAATATTTTTTTTGTAATTTTGAAACATATACCCTATCAGATTATATAACATTATCTAAAGAAATAGCATATTCAGTGATAGGTAGACACAATTTTCTTAGAAGTATAATACCTACACATAACTGCAATTAATATGTGAAAATAAACATATAAAAGTCAGAAAAATATACTCTTTTTTTAAATTGAGGAAAACAATCTGCATAAATATGACTGGCTTCCAATTTGTATTGAGAATTAGAAACACATTTGGGATTTCTTTTTCCCCCTTATTCAATAATAGATTACTTCAGTTCCTATTTCTTTCTTTTTGTGTTTTTGTTATTCCTGGTTCTAGGGATGATCTCAGAGTACTTTACCACCACTGAGCCACATCCCCACCCCTTTTTAATTTTTCTTTTGAGACAGCATATTACTAAGTTGCTTAGGGCCTTGCTAAATTGCCGAGGCTGGCCTTGAATTTGCAATCCTTCTACCTCAGCCTTCCAAGTCACTATGATTACAGGCATGTGCCACCATGGTCAGCAATAACTTAAGTTTCTGACTAATCATTTGCTCTTGGAGATAGACTGAATGCATTCTAAACCGTAAGATGCAAAATGAGTTTTTTGGTGGTCAGGGCCAGAATATTATGGTTTGGATATAAGGTATTCCCCAAACAGCTCATGTGTTAATGCAGTAATATTTGGAAGTAAAGTGATTCAATTAGTTTATGAAAGCTGTAACCTAATCATAGATTAGTTCATCTGATGGTTTAATAATCTGAATGAATTACTGGGTGGCAACTAGAGGAAGGTGGGGCAAGGCTTGAGGAATTAGGTCACTAGGGGCATTGCATTTTGGAATTACATTTTGTCCGGGGGCTCCTTACGTGTTCTCTCTAATTTCTTGCTACCATGAATTGAGCAGCTTTCCTCCACCATTCCCTTCCACCATGATATTCACCTCACCTCAGGCTCAGAGCAATGGAGTCAGCCAACCAAGGACTAACTGAAACCATGGAACCTAAGTTATTCTTATAGAGTATTTTGGTCACAGTGAAGAAAAACTGACTAACACACATTCCAAACAGCAGCTTAAATTCAGGCATATGTTTCACATAGAACAGATTATATATAAACAATACTACTTTAAAAGAGTCGCTTTAAAAAATTTGACAGGGACTTCAAAGATACTTTGGCCATAAGCATTATAATCTAAACACCCTACTCAGACTCTGTGATTTAAAAGGTTTCCTTCGCGTTAGCATGGATTAAAAGCTATCATGTCAATCCTGCTTCTCACAGAATTTTTTTAAAAAAATCCATCCACCTCAGCCATCAAAACCAGCTCTCTAAAAATCTGAACCACTGAATTAAATCAGATTCAAAGACACAGAACTTAGTGCAATGTGTGAACCCTCTTTAGATCCTGAGTTAAACAAATCAAGTGTAAAAAAAAAGATACTGCCAAGAAATAGAGGAAATTTACATAAGTTCCAGATATGAGATGACACCAAGGAATTATTTTTAAGATGTGCCAATGGCAGTATGGATGTGAAAGCGTAAGTAGTTTTAGAGGTGCATGCTGGAATGTGTAGGAGTGCAAATCACAAATTGTGATGAACTTTATAATGCTTCAGCAAACAACAATGCAAAGGAACAGACAAAGCCACATATGGCAAACCTTTGATAGAGAATGAATCTGGGTGATGAACAAAGGCAATTCATTCTATTAGTGTCTCTCCTTTAAACATATGTTTGTAGGATATACACATATACATGGCTGAACTTTTTCATAATTAAAACAATGTTCATACCTTTTACATTTTTTGAGGATTGAAATTAAATTATAAACCACTGGATTTTGTATATTTTTAAGATTATGCTTCATGGAATAACTTATTTAGTTTATTACTAACATTGCCAAGTTGGTATAATCCTCACACCATGGCTCAATCAAGAACTGAAATCCTGGGCTGGGGTTGTGGCTCAGTGGCAGAGAGTTCACCTAGCACATGCGAGACCCTGGGTTTGATCTACAATACCACGTATAAATAAATAAAATAAAGGTATTGTGTCCAACTACAACTAAAACATATATATTTTTTAAAAAACACTGAAATCCAAATGCCTCCTAGCAATTATTTGTTCTAATGATAAAGTTGTAGATTATATAACTGATTATTTTGTTCCTTCTTTACTGTCAACAAAAAATAGTGCATTTGGATTAATTTAGTCCATAATGAGTGGGCAAGGAAAAGAAAGAAAGAGAATTAACACATAAGTCATTTTTGGTGATCTGACCACCTGAGAAAAACCTGGAGTTATACAGGTGATAGATAAAAAACTATTGATCTAATATTATCAATGGATTTCATTTACATGTGTTTTCTTCCCCAACACAGGGCTAACTGGAGTACAGGTAATACTGTCATCTAAGGTGATGTCTTGCATGGGATTCACTATGTAGTAAAAACTAAGGGAAAAGGGAACAGCATCAGATGAGGGGTACTTTCCTACTTCCTTTGCTTCTGTTCAGTGCACTGAAATAAGAGTACATCAAATCTTAGTTCAGTGATGATCCTCAACATGTTCAATGAGTCACTCCTGGGCCTGCCTGCCTGGTATACAGAGGTTCTAGAAAGCAGTCAGGTCTGAGTTCAGACTAGGCTGTCTCACAATGCATCTCTCTCCTTTGCATAAACTTACAATGGCTCTTGACTCTTAACCAATCTTGATCTATTTAACTCCTCTTCCAACTTGATCAAATTCTCCTAGTCTGAAAGATCACCAATGATATGAACTCAGTCCTTTTCCTCAAATCAAACCTCAGCTTTTTCAGTTCCTACAGAGACTGAAGTAAGATTCTAGTAAGGTTGTTCTCTTTGATGGTTTCCATGCTAACATACAACACAATGCTGGGATATGCCATATTTCCAAGCATTTGTTTTTGCTCTCTACAAATATCCCTCTTCATCCAAATTGATAAAACTTTCTCCAAATAAACTGCATCTCACAAGAACCTTTTCTTTCTATACCCTTCTAATTTATCTACAGCAATTCCTTAGCATAAGGTGTACAGTATCCTAGAAGGGGTGGAATCTGAGCTACATTTTGAAGGTTGTGTAGGAATAGTGAAAATCAAGGCCTCAGAGGCAAGACCCTGATTTATATTCCTGGCTATTTTAAGTTTAAGTTTTTGGCCAGGCCCTTTATTCCCTTGAGTATTATGCACTAAGCACCAAATGCTCCTTGCTAATTTGGGGAATTTGAAAATATAAGTCAGAAGAATGTTTTACAAGGTCATACCTGGCAAAGTGCCCTCAGAAAGAGCCTTACTTGCCCACTACTAAAAACCCAGGAACCTCAGGAATTCTGAGAAATGCTCAAGGCACTACTTCTTACTATCTAGTCCAGACTTTCTTGTTCTGCTCTGGAATTCCCCAGATTCAAATGAGCTTTTCTGCAGAATCCTTGAATTGTTTGGTTTCCAATTTGGACTCTGCCATTGAATCCTATTTTTCTGATTCCCTTTCTTTCTAGCTCTACAACTCTTCCAGGCCAGGCCCACATCCTCCTAGCCATACAGGAGAATTTGGTTCAACAACAGGACTCCCCATGTTTTCCACTAAAACGAAACCTACTATATTTTATGAAACACTAGAACTATATTGCCTGCTACAAAGAAAAGAAAAACATTTATTAAATTCTATTATGACATATCTGGTCAACACCAGGGTTTTCCATATCTGATCTTACTTCATTATTACAAACAACAAATCTGTGAGAAACTATTATTTTTCCCAACTGACAGATGAGAGGAATATGTATCACGATGGTTAGGAATAGCAACACCAGAGTCAAGTTATCAGGTTTAGATCCTTTCTCTGTTACTAACATCCATGTGATCCAGGTAAGTTACTAAACCTCTCCACTTCTCACTTTCCTCTTCTATCAAAATGAGGTTGGTGGAAGGATTCAATGACTTGATTCTTGTATAATGTTAATAAGTTCTTCTTAACAGTTGTTTTCTAAAAATATGATATCTGATAATGAAAAATGCAAGTTCTAAAGAGTTTCAATGGAATTTGTGATAAAAGACTGAAAAGTTAGTTTGTTTCCATTTTAACAAGACACTCCCCACACACACAACACATCCTAGTAATAAATACCCAAAATATACAAATAGAAACACTAAAACAAGATGAGCTGGAAAACAAGATAATCATCTGGGTAACACTGAATGAAAACACAAAGCATTGAGTGTGTTGATGCCAGAGGCTTGCTGGGTGAAAGGTTTACAAGCAGCAGTGGTGGCCACAAAGTCCATTTTCGTGGTGTAACTTGCCTTTCTCCTGGGAAACAGAGAATTTCAGTGGCATCCTCTCTCACGAAAGGACACTGAAAAAGGGCTACTGCCAAAGCTGCCTAGGGCTGCAGCCAAGGAAAGACGTGGGCACCA